TGTTCCCCCCCTGCCCCCAGACCCCACCTGCCCCGGGCCCGTCCCGCACCACGCGCCCGCTCCGCCCGCCGCTCCCGCTCCAAAGGACATCCGGCCGCGCGGGGCGGGAGGAGCTGCCGCCGGCACCTGCCCACACCCGCCTCCATCTCCCTCATCCCCGCCCATCCCTCCTCCCTTCCCCTCCTTATCGATGTGCGGGGGCGTGTTCGGCTGGCCCAACATGGGCTCGTAGGGTTGACCGTTCCCGGTGTGTCCATGCCCAAGCGCTCCATGAAATGTTTCATTTTCATCCTTCCACCTTGTTATAGATACATATGTTGTTGGCTTTTCGCAAATATTAAAATGAATGTTATGTGTATAAGAATGAGATATTTTGTTGTATTAATATAGTTTTCTTTATTTGTTATTGATGAAATTTAGAAATAGTGGTATAATACATATATGTTAGGCTATGGCATAGTATTAAAATAAAAACTGCTTCTGTTTGTATAACCCGAAGACTGAGAAAAAAAAAAAAAACAAACTAGAGAACTCCTGCATTTGTAAACTATCTTATCCAGATGAAGACAGCAGTGCCCAGAACTCTGGGGGGAGGAATTTATTGCATTTCTGGTATCAGAGAATGTAAATCTCAATGGCACCAAGAAGATTGATCTATTGGGAAGGGGGCAAGAGAAAACTAAACAGAAGAACACCAAAGATCCTAAGAAGAATGTCTGAATATGTGTGAGAATTTATGGATATGTAGTAGGGTTCTGTTTTTAAGGGACAATCCTTTGTTAGTGAGGTGAATGCAGAGACACCCGGCCCTATCTTTATTTTTTATATAATATATACTTTATTTTTTTCTCCTAATTGTCTTTTTTTTATTAAACTTTTGAATTCTATAAAAATTATATGAACCTCGTTTTTCACACACCTGCAGCTCTCCAGGCCCGTGGTAAGAATCCCCTTTGAGCATGAAGGCTTTTCCACCTCTCTCACCTGGCCGTGGTCTCCCTGTTCCACAGCGCTGCTGTCACCAAATCATTGGAAAAAGCTTTATAACAGTCTAGTTCTTTTACTAAAAACACGTGTAGCTTTATTTTGGCTCTGGGATCACACACTCCTAGCTATTTCACACACCAGTTGGTACCTATGTCACTAATACAAATCCATCTCATTTCCCAAACTTATATGTATTTGCTAAATGTTCCCACAAATTCATGTGAGGGGTCTCTCAGGGATCTCTGGTGGTTGTTTGGGGAACATCCCATTCGTTAAATTATCCTTTATGGTCATGAACCTCCTAAACCCAGTTTGTTCCCTTTGAATGCATCCCAGCTCCGTGATATGGCCAAGACAAATCTTTTTCCTCTCACTGCTCAGACCCACAGTCTGTATTCTCATGGTTCAGGTACCACTTGCACAAGGAGATGGCTGAATGCAGGACTGAGCACGGGCTGGGAAAGTTCAAGGAATAAACACTGTTTGTTACCATTAAAGATTTTCCCACCGTTTGTCAAAGGTTGTCCCAACTCTGCCCCGTTTTTCTCCCTTAAGCCCCACCCCACGTCCTCAACATCCCTGGATCTGGATCAGCTTCGTGCCTGGTGGTGCCTCCAGCACCGACTCCCCTCCCCTCCAGCCTGAGGGACTGGGAATTCAAGGACACCTGGAGGAAGCTGATCTGCTCCGTGGTGTCTCCATGGGAATAACCCTGTGTCTCCTTCCAAGGCATTTCCAGTCCAAATCCAGAGCCTCCTGTGCTCTGGGTGTTGATCTGTGATCATATTCCTTTTAGTTTGGGGATATCAGCAGCTCCTAGAGTCTGGAACTTGCCCGGCCTCGTGCCTCCAGGGCATCCAGAAGATGGTGCAGCTTCTCTTGTATCACCATTCCACAATCCAAGAGGATTTTCTTCCGGCAGGTTCAGTTCTTCCAGAGCTGAGATATGGAACACGAGGAGGGTCATGCAGGGCTTCTTCATGGAACAGTTCCTTGGAAAATCTTCCTGGGGCAGGGATGTCCCTGGACAAGAGCAAATGAGCAAGGCCTGCTCAGTGCCGTGTGTGCTGGATGTCCCAGAGGAGCTGAGTCAGAGCCATTTCCCTGGATCAGCTCCCACCCCCCTCAGCTCTGAGGAGCTGCACACAAGTCCCCAGCTCTTGCCACAGATGGTTCCTCAGCCAAACCCATCCTCAGACAGCTCCAGATCCACCCCATGCTCGACAGATGTTGAGAAAAAAAACATTGACTGAAATCCCACCAACTGATCCTTGACTCTGAGGGAGCACCTCCACCCCTTGGAGATGCTCAAGGAATGACTGGATGTGACACTCAGTGCTCTGGTCTGGTTGGCAAGCTGGGGATTGGTCACAAGTTGGACTCAATAATCTTGAAGGTCTTCTCCAGACTCAGTGATTCTGGGATTCCTCAAAACCCTGCTCTCCCAGCTTCTCCTTGTCCAGGATGTGCTCCAGGCCCCAGCCATCCTTCCAGCTCTGCTCTGCTCTGTCAGGTTTTCCTGGTGCTGGGGAGCCCAGGCTGGACACAAGAGCCCTGCCATGGTCCTGTGCTGGGCCAGACACACCCCAGCTGCTCCTTCCATTACCCTCCCCAAAGGAATGGGGGCACAGAAGAAGGAACTGTTGTTTTTTATTACAAAACTTTGCCAAGAAACTCACTGTGTTCCTCATTATCTCTTTGTCCACTGGTTCCTTCCATATTTATTGTGTGCACACCTCTAAATCCTTTTTTGCTAGTTAGACTTTAAGCTCTATCCAGCAACTTCAGGAGAACTGAAAATTTCTGTTCTCTGTGTTATGTATCAACCCCTCTCTCAGGGAATGAGGGGCTGTTCCTTCCTGCAGCACCATGGATGTGCTGGTCAGTCCAGGACACAGCTGAGCTCTGGGCAGTGCCAGGGGAGATGTTCTGGTCACTCCAGGACATGGATGAGCTCTGGGCAGTGCCAGGGGAGATGTTCTGGTCACTCCAGGACATGGCTGAGCTCTGGGCAGTGCCAGGGGAGATGTTCTGGTCAGTCCAGGACACAGCTGAGCTCTGGGCAGTGCCAGGGGAGATGTTCTGGTCACTCCAGGACATGGCTGAGCTCTGGGCAGTGCCAGGGGAGATGTTCTGGTCAGTCCAGGACACAGCTGAGCTCTGGGCAGTGCCAGAGGAGATGTTCTGGTCAGTCCAGGACACAGCTGAGCTCTGGGCAGTGCCAGGGGAGATGTTCTGGTCAGTCCAGGACACAGCTGAGCTCTGGGCAGTGCCAGGGGAGATGTTCTGGTCACTCCAGGACATGGCTGAGCTCTGGGCAGTGCCAGGGGAGATGTTCTGGTCAGTCCAGGACACAGCTGAGCTCTGGGCAGTGCCAGGGGAGATGTTCTGGTCACTCCAGGACATGGCTGAGCTCTGGGCAGTGCCAGGGGAGATGTTCTGGTCAGTCCAGGACACAGCTGAGCTCTGGGCAGTGCCAGAGGAGATGTTCTGGTCACTCCAGGACACAGCTGAGCTCTGGGCAGGGGTGGGGATGTCCTGGCTCATGGTCTGGGTCTCAGCTCCTGCAGGCACGGAGTCACAGGTGGACCCCATGTGCTGGAGTCAGAGGCACAGAGTGTTTGCCCTTATCTCTGATACCTGGCTCTGACATCCAAGAAAACACTGAACTTCACAGAACACCACGCAAACCACTGTTAAATAGAAAAACTAGGAGTGTGAGTGTGTAAATTAGCGAGTTTTATTAAGGCACTAGGTGAAAAAGTTAAAGTTTAAGCTCCTTTGAAAAACAAAAGACAAGATAGAGGATTTAGGGTGTTGTCTCTTCTTCCTTCTTCTTCCTTCTTCATCTTCTCCTCGAGGTTTTTGGGTAGTAGGATGGGATAAAAATTGCCACAGTGCAGCACACAGGTGTTGGGTCACTGGGTCACTAAGAAAAATAATTTACTTGGCATTTGTTAATGATAATAAATAATAATAAATAATAAATAATAATAAATAATAATAAATAATAAATAATAATAAATAATAATAAATAATAATAAATAATAATAAAGAATAATAAATAAATAATAAATGATAAATAATAAATAGATAATATGGATAAATAGACATATAAAAGACCTTGAAGAGGTTCTTTGTTAGCAGTTTTGCACCTTAGTGCACATAGCTCCTTGTACTCTGTATATGTATATAAATATATATATATATATATTTAATGCAATGTAGATAAGAGAAGAATAAACCACCAAGTCCAAACAAGAGAAAACTGCCTCTCTCTCATCAATCTTAGTCCAGGGGGGGAAAAGATCCCAGCCACCAGTGTCCCATCAGGACACCCATGGACTGAGATCTCCTGGAGATCACACCTCAAGAGGACAGACACTGGGCTGTGCTGTCCTGCACACAGGGGCTCCAACACCATCCTCTGCAGCTGAGACTCAAACCTTAAGGAGTTTTGGGATTTTGGAGAAGCTGGGGTTTTAATTGATAATTGCCTTTGCTGAGACTAATTAAAATAAACAGATGGGCCTTGCTAAAAGTAAAGGCAGATAGAGAGGTCTTGCTAAAGTTAGAAGTTAATTGTTAGCTATCCCAGATGTGAATGTTTACACAGATGGGTTTGGGATGAGAAACAGGGAATCTGATAAAGAATTTCAGAAACCTAAGACAACTGTAAATCAAATGAAAGACAGGAAGCTAGAAGCCCAGCCAAGGGCCCATTTGGCCCATTTGTCACTTTGCATTGAAAAGGTAGAAAGGTCAGGACAAGGAAGAGATGTATTCCTTCCTCCCTTCCATGATCCCTACTCATAAAAAGACCACAGACCCATCTCAAAGAACAAACTACGCTTGCTTAATTGCTCTTTTCTAATTAGCATAAGGAGCAGAGTAACTGCTACTGAGTAAGTTACTGGTGGTAACTGAGTTATGAATATGTATTTGTATTCAATACTTCTGTACATAAAAAGCCTGTACTCAGGGCTGTGGGTATTTAGAGGGTGACCTCTACGTCGGTCCGGTGCTGCTAATAAACACACCACACTCTAACTTCAAACATTTAAAGAGTCTATGTCTGCC